GGCCCCTCCATGGGCAGTACAGCTCGGCAGGGTGTGCGGGCTTTGGGGACTGTGCTTATTAGGAACGTGAAGGAAAGGCCAGCGAATGGTCCTTGGCCGCTCTGGAAACTGTGTCCCCTGAAGACAAGGGAGAGAACTGTCCCTGACCCGGCTCCTGCGCTGGGTGACTGTTGATTCACAGTTCTCTCTAAGGAGACATGGACCTGTCCTAATGCCACCTTAGGGGCTTGGCTGCAGCTGGCCCTGGGGTCCTCAGGTCACCACCTGGCCCCTGTGCCTGGCTTTGAATTTCCTAATATCCAGAGTGCCCGGGGAGTGCAGTGTCCAGCCCACTGTGCGCAGCAAATGTGGTGTTCATAACCTGGAGCCGGGCAGAAGAGGAAGGACGGAGTCCACCTGCAGACCCTTGGGGCTCTGTGTCCTGAAGTTCAAGTCTAGGTCACCCTGCAGTGGGCCCAGCCCCGCCTGCACCGACAGATGGCACCAGCAGGGGGCGCAGCAGTCCTCCGCCACTGTTCTCTGTTCCCACCTCAGTGCAGTCAGCCCTGGGCCCATTAGCACACAGAGCCAGGAGCCTGCAAGCCCCGCCCTTGGCCCGTGGTTACTCTCACCTGCTGCCTCAGCCAGAGGTGGCCTGGCAGGGCCTCCCTGAAGCTCCTTCCAGCCAGGCAGGGGTGGGCCAGGATGGAGGGCCAAGGGCTGCCTCCAAGCAGTGAAGCCCTCCAAGGTGGAAAGGCAGGCAGCAGCGCCCAGGGCCGAGGCCTGAGGCTTGGTGTTTGCACTCCAGGCACTAGCCCTGCGGTCCCACCACTTCCAGAAGGTGGGCAAGAAGCCGGAGCTTACGCTGGTCTGGGAGCCTGAGGACATGGAGCAGGAGCCAACGCGGCAGGTCAGAACCCCTCTGTGTCCCATCACCCCAAGTCTTGGTGAGCCACTCCCTGCCTCCTGTGGTGTCCCCTACCCTCATCTGTGTCTCCTGGGCTCCCCCAGCACTGCAGCCTCTTGGGTGGGGTTTCAGGGCCCCCCGGCCCTCCCAGCTCTCGTAGATCCCTCCTGAGGGCCCTGCTTTCTGGCACCACCTTCCCTTCCTTGGGGACAACCACAGTGGAGAGAGGCGGGGCTCTGCTTGTCCCTCTAATGCAGGGGTGCTATCCTTCTGGGGTCCTTTTGAGAACCTGAGAAAAGCTATGAGTTTACACCCAAGAAATTGTTTGGAACCAGTTTCACCAAAGGTGGATCTGGGCTCCCAGGTTGTGCTTCGTAAGCCTTGGGAGCGCTCAAGATGCCTCTTACTCCAGCTCTGCCCTGACCCAGGACATTCCTCCTGGAGCAGGCCCCTGTTACAGATGGGCCAGCAGAGGCTTCCAGAGGCTGAGGGAGGGGCCTGGGTCCTGCAGGGACCGAGGCAGCCCTCATGGCTGTATTCTGCACAGGTCATTACCATCTTCAGCCTGGTGGAGGTGGTCCTGCGGGCAGAGGCCACAGCCCTCAAGTACAGCGCCATTCTGAAGCGGCCAGGCACGCTGGGCCACCTGGGCCTTGAGAAGGATGAGGAATGTGACAGCGAGCCTGAGGACTGAGGTGCCAGCAGAGCTCCACCCACCGCCTGCGCCACCTGCCGGCCCCACCGCGTTGGCTTTAGGAATAGAACCTCTTGACATGGAGGGAGACTTTTAATTTGGTTTTTAACAACTCAGGGGTTTGTTTTTATTTAATTTTTGCAGCTCAACTTTTAAACAAACTGCAGGGGAGAGGGTGGGGCTGGAAGGAAGGCTGAGGCCTGGTCAGCAGTGACCCCAGCAGAGCAGGCCCTAGTCTTTCTGGGAGGCCAGCTCCCCTTTTCTCTGGGCCCTTCTGCCCTCCTCTGCCCAGGAAACGGGGGTTTTCAGCAAATCAGTGTCACAGAATAAAATCAAGTGTGAAGTGCCATCTGGTGTGTGGGGTGCCTGTGGGAAGCCTGGGCATGGAATGCCCCTTGCACCCAGGACAAGGGACCCAGCTCAGGCTCCACCCCTTGCTGTCCAGCCAATGTCACCACCCGGAGCCTTCCCGTGAGTTCCAGCATGATTCAGAGCGGGCTGCGTGGCAGACTGATGCCGGAGTCTAATTCTGCCTGATTAAAAATGTAATTAGTATGCAGGACTGAGAGAGCCCCCCCCCCCGTCACCCTGACGCATGTGGCTGTGTCCAACCCTGTCCCCGCTTCCTCTCTGCACCAGCTCCACAAGGCCTGGTGGAGTTTGTGGGTCCTGTGACACCCCCTCCCTTCAAGCAGCACTCTGTGAGGCCCTGTCCCCAGCTCTGGTGTGAGTTGGTGCCCGGCAGCCCTAGGCCAATCCTGTGCTCTGGCAGTGCTAAGGGAGCCTGGACAGAGAAACAGGCCTGGGCCTGGGGAAGGGAGGAGAGCCCTTCAGTGCCTTCCCAGCCAGGAGGAGAAAGCAGCTCCTGGTGACACAGCCTGGCCCGTCCCACACCCAGTGTCCCGAGCACCCACGGATCCCACTTGCCTTGGGTCCCAGGCAGAGCTGCCTGGCCACTGGGCAGTCCCTTCCCCAGCCAGCCAGAGCCCAGCCTGCACTCCTTCTAGTCTCTGAGGGAAGCTCCCTGGCTTGGCTTCCCCGAGAGCTGCCAGAAACTAGGATGAAAGCCACAGTGAGCCCGGCCTCTGCTTCCCGCGCCATTTCCTGGGGTGTCGGGATTAACAAGCTCATTTGATCTGGTTACAGTGAATTTTCTTCAAAGAAATGCTCAATAGGATCCCTTGTCAGAGCCTCACAGCGCCTGGACCACAGTGACTGGGCACAGCTGCCTTTGTTCTGCCACCATCAAATGGGGCTGGCTGTGGGAGGGGACCAAAGACATCCCTCACCTGCCCTCGGTGCCTTCCCTCCTCCAGGGC